CTTGGTAATATTTTTTCACTCTTTCCACAAAAACATTCTAGATCCGTCAAATTGTAAAGGCATCTCCTGTGCACAGCCTGCTTCAGGTCACCCCACAGATTTTTAGCTGGATTCAGGGCTCTGGCTCGGCCATTCAAAAACATTGATCTTCTTTTGGTTAAGCCAGTCCTTTGTTGATTCAGATGTATGCTTTGGATCATTGTTGTGCTGAAAGGTGAATTTTTATTTTTTTTTGCACCAAACATACCTTTTGGAATTACGCAATTATTACACATTTTGGAATTGGTCTCATCAGACCATAACACATTTTGCCACATGGTTTGGGGTGATTTAATTGAATTTGGATGTTTTTTGTGAGAAGGGGTTTCTGTCTATAGCCACCCTAGCCCATAGCCCAGACATGTGAAGAATATGAGAGATTGTTGTCACATGCAGAGAGTAATCAGTACTTGTCAGATATTCCTGCAGCTCCTTTAATGTTGCCATTTGTCTCTTGACAGCCTCCCTGGTAAGTTTTTGTCTTGGTCCTTTTGTCAGTTTCGCAGAGCATCCTGTTCTTGGTAATATCACTGTGGTGCTCCATTTTCTCCACTTGTTGATAATGTCCTTCACAGTGTTCCCTGGTACATATAATGTTTTGAAATTTTTTTTGTACCCCTCTCCTGATCGATTCCTTTCGACAGGCTTTGTCAGCTCTTTGCACACCACATCCCCAATTATAAAAGGGTGTGCACACTTATGCAACCAGGTTATTGTAATTTTTTTATTTTTCCTATTTTTCCCTAAAATGTTTCTGAATGTTTTTCACTTAATTTTATACATTGTACTTTCACATTGAGGCTGGGAAAAGTCCTGACATGATTTATCTTGGTTTCATTTTTTTCACCCCAAAAAACTGCCATTTTAACAGGGGTGTGTAGACTCTTTATATTCACTGTATGCTATTAATGTAATTATGATTTATGTAATTTATGTTAAAATGACCAACATGACTGTTTAAAAAGAAACTAATTTGTTATTATTAATATATGCCTGCTAGACATTATCATACATGTATAGGAAGAAATCAAAATAATTTGTAACCTCTAACCAAATGGAGCTCTTCCCTTTCTGGCCTGTTTGTACTTGTGAGGTCACTTCTAAGAAGAGTTCAGAATCACATACTGCGGCCAAAATACCAGGATACATGTGTTGAACGTAACCATGGATTTTGGCAATATTGCATCCATTTCCAAGTGTATCCAGTGCAACAGATGCTATTATTCACACCAGCCAAACAGGAAAAGTATGTTCAGGTTGTTTGAGATTCACAAACTCTACTAACACATGACAGTGTAAAACACCCTCTATGTGCCAATTTGCTCGCAGAAAGACATTTTTATTAGGAAAAATGGCTCCTGTATCTGTGTCTTTTCTTAGTAGATTGCCTGCTAAACTGGCCACACTCACCACCACAAATACAAATTTCTAGCATTACTGCTTCTCTTAGTAAATATGCTCCTAGAATGAATGTGATTCTGGCTAGATAGCTACTATTACTGTTTTTTAGCTATGCCCATTTTTATAGATAACAATATCTGAAATCACATAAGCAAGTTTATTTGAGATTGCTTAACCGATGATTTATACATGCAGCTGGTTAATCTAAGGCTAATCTTGTAGCTTTATACTTTCATTACCAGTTAGCAACATGAGCTTTTTACTTCAGTCCAAAAACTAAAGAAGCAAACAAGTGAGTTTAATTTTTTTGGCCAAACTATTTCCTAAAAATGTAAACACATCAGAAAAACTAGTGCAACCCCAGGACTGTAAATTAGGAACTCTCACAGTTGGTCCAGCAGTCATGTTGTTGTGTTGCCCTTCATACTATTGGCTGAAGGTGGAATGCTGGACAGCTTCCAAGAAATCATTGGCTTCACTCAGAGAGAGCAGCTCTGGAGGTTAGAGCAGCCATGGTTGTGGGTTTAAGCCAGACAGGCACAGGATGCTGTTGACAGGGCTAGTGCAACAACTCAGGGAGCATTGCAGAGCCTAATGAGCAGACATGTCACAACATCTCAAACTGTTGCTTCTGTGATCTGACAGGCCCTCTGTTCTCTGTGTGGTGAGGTGAGGTCAAGCTTGCTCACTTTCGTTGCTGTCTTCAACAGCATGTGCATGTTTGAGTGTGTGAAAAGGGGGACAACAGAGATAAATATATTTGGGGGGGCAGTGACTGATACAAACACAGCATGCCATAAGAGATTTGAAGTGATTTAGGAAGCTATGCTGAAAACAAACAGAACAAATATGAAAGCACACAGGAAACAAGAAAACACTTTCGGTCTTGACAACTTATTTTGAAAAAAGCTCACTCCTGGGTGTAGGAATTATAAAACCAGAGGGTCTTGTCCTTTAAAAGCTAGGCTATTTATCTAGTCTGTTGTACTAGACAGTAGAGAACAATAATTCTCATGGTTATTTAGTGAGGAGAATAATACAGCTCAGAAGACATCATGCCTCGGCTATTAGAGAGCTAATCACTGACTGGGTTCATTTGAGGTGTGCTTAAAATGAGCTATCAGGCAACACTAGTGGGGCTGTAATGTAGAGCAGGCAACTGAGGAGTCTGGAGGAGGTACAGCTTCATTGCCTTTTCTACCTCTCCTCTTATTTACAACATAATTACAAAAACGAAAGTCAAACTTTTTTTTTCATTTCTACCTAATTCAATAATGATTCCAGCAAAATAAAAATGCAGCACAAGAGCCATCATACAATGGTGTAAGTATGTATTTTTACAGTGCAGATTAAGGCGTCTCAGGCGTCTCCTCAGTCTCAGAGTATTACCATAACCCTGTGCTTGAAATGTCAGCATTCATTCTGCTTTTTTTTCCTTCACTCACCATGAGACGAGTGTTTGTAATTTACTGCAGGAAGGTACAGACAACAGCACTATTCATACATCACGTGATCGTAACTCTATTTTTTTCAAGATAAGGGAATCACTCTTTTATCATTTCCAGGGCTCATCTTCAAGAAAACACAGCCACCTGGTAGGTTAATAAGTAACTTCATGGAAAGTCTTTTTGTCCCCACACATACTGTGTGTATCACAGCTTGAGCTTATGTTTTGTTTATAGTTTATTTTGTCGCCTCTCCCGAGATGATGGAATACCAGCATCATCAGAGCTCATGTCCCACATCGGGAGAATCAGAGAAACACAAGCTCTGGAACCTTGTCCTTATCACTCTGGGGAACTGGGTATGTTCTTGACAGTTCTTCTGCATAAAATGTGGCAGCCTCATCTGGGTGTATTTGAGAATGTCAAGCAAACTATAGTTTAATATGTCTAATGGCATCAAGGCATGGTGGTACAGTGGGTAAGATTAACAACCCCCAGCTCCAGGGTTCCTGGTTTGATCCTGAGCTCAGGTTACTGTCTGTGTGGAGTCTTACATGTGCAACACATAGCATGTGGGTTTCCACTGGGTTCATTGGTTTCCTCCCACCTCCCAGAAACATGCCAGTAGGTGGATCAGCTCTGCTACATTGCCCTTAGGTGTGACTGTGTGTGCATGGAGAGCTGCGATAGATTGCTGTCCCATCTATGATGTACTAATCCATCTCATGCTCAGGTTTCTCAGGATATGATCCAAATCCAAAGAGACCCTGACCAGTTTAAAGCAATTACTGAAGATGAATGAATGAATGATGGCATCAAAGCAAAAAGCAAGGCAAATGATGTTTACCATCTTTTGAAGAGTGATCCCATGTACAGGAAACTTGAAGGGCCAGCATGAGGACAGATTTTCAGTGATGAACATTGCTTTATCTACACCACAGTGCTTTCACACTTGAAGAAATTGCAGAACACTCAAGAGATGGAGTTACTGATGTGTTTTCATCCTACAGCAAAAGGGCCTTGTTCTTTTCTTTAATGGTGTCACTAAAATTGTGTGGGTGCCACTAAATCTGGAAGAGAGGATTGAGAGTGCTCTAATGGCAGCAGCATTCCTCACTTACAGTCTAAGGTATTTTGAACCCATAGGTTACAGTGCAAAATTATTAATAGAGCAGCCTTCATGCATCATTCAAATGCAATTAAGGGACTGGTGTCTATGCAAAGAACCTAGGAAATGCAGTTATGAGAATGGGAATGGGTATATTTTCAGCTCTTTATCTGGAAATGTGTGAAATTTGGAGTATTTTTCCTTATGCTGCCTGTCTATAAATTGATTTTGTGAGTTTACCTGTGAGGTCTGAGAGGTTAGCAGTGGAAGAAGTATACCGCACTCTGGTGAAGGCAATGAAATGAATTTTGCCAGAGAAAAAGACCAGAGAGCCACAGGGCTGCTTTCACCTCATCTGTGCTGTATATAGCAATTTCCATTCAACTTCTGTGCAAAATAACAACAAGCTGGCGGGGAAGAGGAGCTGCAATAAGAAAAGGAATAGAGTTCTGCAGCAAAAAAAAGAGAAAATGCAGTGAAAGGAGCAGCGTTCCAGCTTGGTAAATGGGCTGAGTGCAAATGAGAGATGAGAACTGTTTTGTTTTGATGAGAAACAACAATTTTCAAGCTGTTCCTGTTTCACCAATTAATGAAAACAATTCAGATTAGATACACATTAACTTGAGATTTTTTTTTGGTGAAAAGTAAGCAAATAAATCAAGAAAAACCTTGTGATAAATTTCAATGTAGCCTACCTGGAAAATAAACAAGTTAGTAGTAAAATATCTCTATCCACACCAGAAAAGGTACTGTAAAAAATTGCCTGTAAATTTTACAGTAATGTACTGGCAAAAGGATTGCCAATAATGTACTGTAAAAATTTACAATAACCAACTATAAACATATTTACAGTAAAGTACTATAATATCTTATATAGATAACACGTAACCCAGTACATTTGCTCATTTGGCTGATGCTTTAAAAAGAAAAAGAACAAGAACAGCCACTTACAATTGATACTGAGCTACAATTTAAAGGTCTTGTTCAAGGACCCAAACATGGTAGATTGGTGCTGCTGGAATTTGAACCCATGGTTTTCTGTCTGTAACTCAAAGCTTTAACCCCTGAGCCACCACAACATGCTCAACTAGCTTACATTGATTCCCTCACTTCTACCACTGAATTAACTTGCACTAAAAGATTGCATTGAATCAGGGTAAGCTAGTTGAACTTGTTGTGGTGGCTCAGTGGGTAAAGCTTTGTGTTACAGATGTGAAAGTCATGGGTGCAAATCCCACCACTGACAAACTACCATGCCCTTAACCTTCAGCTCAGTTGTATGTTGCTTACTTTAAAAGCATCATCCTAATGAGCAAATGTACTGGATTAGGTATTTTATTATTATTATTTTATACTGTGTAAGATATTACAGCACTTTACAGTAAATATGATTACAGTTGTTTGTTACCCTCTTACCAATAAATTACTGTAAAATTTACAGTAAATCTTTACAGTGTTTGGATCAACATTTCTATATAAAAAGACAACAGGACAGATGCATTTTGTCTAACCTTAGCACTCATGAATAGTCATGCTCCAGTAACGGTTGTTGGCTACAGTTGTGTGTTCGACTACTTACAAAGGCTATGAGTAGCCTTGGAAAAATTATGTAAACTTTTTTTCTGGAAGAGGATGCAGATTTCAGAGTCCTTGGGGAGATGCTTGCCAGGATTGATTGTTAAATAACATTTCTTAGAATCCTAAACAAATTGTTTGCATAATGGCACTGATTCAAATAATATATTAGTACTTGAAAAGAAAAAGGCAAAATCTGAATTCGAATATACTACACACAAATATTTGCCTTTATTTACATAATCAAATTATGAAAATAAGTACTGAAGAATTATGATTCCCTATGTTTTAGATCTGTAATGAGATTGGAGTGTGATGAGATAAATTAATATCAAGATTTTTTTGGCAGGGTAAAAAACCTAGAATAAGATATAAAACATCTAAGTAAAGAAAGAGGTGGGTTAGGTCTCCCTTGCTTATGACAATACTATTACGCAGCCCAATTAAGGTCATTAGTTTGTTGGAGTTCCCCAACATACTCATCAAGATGGATAGATATAATAGGTGCAATGATGGAAGAAATTCCAATTAGCTGCCTTGATTGCTGATAACAAATTAAGGAATAGAGTGGTTGATGAAACAATTCTATGGATTGACTTATTAAAAATTTGGCATGAGACAAAGAAATTATGTGATTTGGAAGATGCTTCTAGAATTTTAAGATGGTGTGCTTTCGACGCCGGTTTTGTCCCAAACAGAATAGATGATAAATTCCGAATCTGGGCTAGACAAGGAATTTCAAATTATTACACATTTTTCAGCAAGGCTAGACTCCAAAGTTTTGAATCTATAAAGGAGAAATATGGGCTCAATCAAAGTGATTTCTACAGATACCTCCAAGTACACCCTGATGCCCTACTTCTGGTTGGAGTTCTCATCACTTGGAAATCACTCGTTGCTGTTGAGGATGGCCCCACACGGACAGCCTCATGAGATGAGATTACATGAGATTACTGTGGATGGTACCACTTAGAAACCATGAAGATGGCTTGGGTCTGCAATTGATACAAACAGTTTTCAATTTGTCGATGGCTTAGGACAACAATTGCTATGATAGCTTTAGCACTGCAATTGCCACAAATAGTTTTGCACTCAAGTCTCCATCAGTGAACAGTTGATAACTTCAACAATATAGACTTTATGTTAAAACTATAATGAATTTCCTGGTTACACAATTGCACTTTTTGACCATGTAGGACACAATTATAGAAGGGAATTATTTACAGTTGCACTATCCGGTGTCACTAAGATGAGGATGGGTTCCCTTTGAGTCTGGTTTCACAGACTCAAAGTCTCACAGAGTTTTTCCTTGCCACCATCACCTCTGGCTTGCTCATTAGGGATAAATTTATGGATAAATTTATAAATTTAAAAGTTATATCCTGAATTTATATATTTCTGTGAAGCTGCTTTGTGACAATGTCCATTGGTAAAAGCACTATACAAGTAAAATTGAACTGAATTGAACTTAATGAACAAGACCATCTAATAACCTTCCCTGGCTTGTCGCTGACCCAAGCCACTGCATAATGACTGTGCATCAGCACCTGTCATTTCCCCTGAAGGCACAGTTAAACTGATGGACAACATCTGCATTTCTTTTTCCATTGTCTCCAAGCACCAATAGGCTTGTACTGATTTCTTCAGCAGAATAACACAGTGACCCTCAGGTAACTTAATTCAGCTTGCTCTCAAACAAACTTATTTATTGACACAAGCTCAATAAATAGTGACTGCAGGTTAACGTCGCTTCCTCTGTGAAGTAACAAATGCAGTGAGAGGAAGAAGCACTGTTAGCTTTAGTGGCTCATTCTTTAACTTCAGCACATCACTGAGGATTTCTATTCCTATATATTCCTATCAGTTCAGTGTTTCCATCCTGGAATATTTTACTGTTTTACAGACAGCCTGATCCAGGGGAAACAGGCCCTGTCCCTGTGGACACTCTCTGATTACCTCATAAATATTTCAGCTGCCTAGTAGTAATGTAGTCTATGCATTATGCAGGAATCCTAAACACCTCTTCTTAAATAATCGCTGAGCACAACTTAGGGAAACTTAGGGAAATCCTCTGAGAATAACATGCCTCGTTTATTTTTTTTAACTGTGAAAAAAAGACAGAAAGAAAGAAAGAATGGCAAGTGGTATAAAATGACAGGAGTCCAATTGCTCATTTGAATTCACCCCTATCTCTTTCATAAATAGACTGACTAGAATGAGCAAGTGTAAAGTCGCAGCAAATCTGGTCAAGCATTTGTGCTATTAACCTATTAATATGCAATTAATCTACTTGCCATTATGAGTAATTAATACTACACAAAAAAGTGCTCATAAAAGAGCTCTACCGACAGTCAAGAAAAGCTAACGGAAATGTTTAATAGCAACATAATTATATAAAATATCTATCTATCTATCTATACAATATAAATATACATATATAAGATAATATTATTAAACAACACACACACACACACACACACACACACACACATATATATATATATATATATATATATATATATATATATATATATATATATATATATAATATAAATTAAAGCTAAAAGCTGAAATGAACCCTAGAGGTACCAAAAGACATGGCTTGTGGTGAATGGGATGTGATTTGAACCACGGATATCAATAATGAGCTCCTACTCTGACTTTTACAATGTAATTTGCATTGTGAAGCAGTTAGCATACAGATGTCAGTAATTATTGGCACACACGCAGTTTAATAGATGGAGCGTCCTTCCGGCCTTTATTAGTTAACATAATTCAAGCATCGATTGTGTAACTGCTGTGTTGAGGGATTGATAATCATGACCCATGATAATGAAGCCTTAGTGCCTTTTAACACAGTGGAGCACAGCTGTGCCCTCTGACCTCAAAGCATGTGCACAATTACACATGAATGGCCCTTTACCAGGACTTTTTCTTGCTTCATTTGTACTGTGATGTTATGGAATTGCTGAGATGGAGCTGCTTCAATAATATGTCGTGTGTCTGTATACGTCATTTGGGCTTCTACCTTTGCAAGAATTTGCACAAATTAAGAAATGAAATATTACAAGTGTCTCAGGTTAGGGCATTAGGACAAGGTTAGTAGTTTTTTCCAACCATTTTATTTGTATAAAATTGCAAAGAAAGTTCCCCTTCTTCTAATTCATGGAACTTCTTTGCCAGAGCATATTAAAGATGACATCAAAATTGACCTTTTTGTTTTACCTTGCTCATTCATATCCCTAGTCATTTTGTGCATAATTCATCAGCATCAATCACAAAATTCTTGTATTTACATAATGTTCCATGATGCAAAATGCAATATCCGTAAACATCTTGTACTTTTTCAGTATATAACCATGCATGCACGAGTTAGCAAAAATCTATCGTCAAACATCATGAAGTGTAAATGCTTGGTCTGTTTCAGTCTGAACTACACCATGTTACAGAAGAAAAATGCGTTATATATATTCTGATTTCCATTTCACAGTGTTTTACCCAGTCTGTATTATCATTGTTTCATTCCTGCATGAGTTTTATGGTAAGTCAGGAAGTAATGTGTATAATGTACATCTAAACATTATGTTGAGAGTAGCCAGTTTAAAACTCTTGTTCTATAGCATTCACACTGCACCATAAAAGAAAAAAAAAAACAAATTAAAAAAATCTTCAATTGTGCACTTGCTCTAGGTGAAAATTTGGTTTTCAATGAGTTTATATCCATGAAATGACAAGAGACCAAAGACCATATGATCAGACATAAGTCCTGTTAGATTTAAACCAGGCCCTAGTTCTCACTAATGACAGCTGGGAGATTACCATAGAAGATCAATCTATATCCTGCTCTTTCAGAGTAGAGCTCTGATGTGTGTGTGTGTGTGTGTGTGTGTGTGTGTGTGTGTGAGTTGCACCACTGTTTCTACGCTCTGCACAGCTGTTCCTTGTCACAGAGACACAGCACTGCTGTATATGTCAGTGTAGTCATTTTGGGGCTTATGATCTTCATTAAGCCAAAAGACGCTAAAGTTGTTTCATAAGAAGGACAGAGTTTATGGAAATGGATTCATGTACCACTTGAGGCCTCACTTGCTTTGCCACGCACTGGTCTTGTTGTTGTAATCAATCTCCTGTGATCTAACAAGAAAATTACAAGTGTGCCAAGAGTGAAGAAAGGACAAAATAAGCTACATGCTACATTATCCCCTCAAGGTAGCACTGTTTCATTGTCTTTGCTATCATCTGTGAAATCAGCAGCATCAGCAGTACTCAGCAGCAACATCAGAACAGGCTTGCCAATCAACCTTCCTTCATATTTTATTTTTCCTTCACACAACCCTTGACGTTGAGCTGTGATCTTTGCACTCATTTGTTCACTCACCGATCTCGCAGCTCTCTCCATAGTATCCCAGAGGGCAGAGGCAGCTGTACCCTTCGCCTTCCCTCAAGCAGCTGCCTCCGTGCAGACACGGGTTCGTCTGGCAAGGCTCCTCCTCTGCTGGACAGAGAAAACGAAGGAAAAATAACATTACTAAGAGAATAATGTGAAGAAATTGAAAATGCTGAATTAGTTTCAGGAATTGACCAATCCATGCCTCCCCTAATTTCCTTGGCCTTAAAATCACTGCTTAGCAAATGCTGCTATCTGCCTCACACGAAGGGTTTTCTCATGGA